AGCATAAGGGTTTGCTGCTGGCCAAAGGCCAGGAAAGGAAGAGCTGTGGGCATGGTGGCCATGCAGCAGGATGTCACTATCCTGGTACAGAAGGGCGAGAGGAAGACCAAGCAACCCCTCCAAAGGGGCGTGGCCTGGGTGAGCAGGGATGTCAGAGCCCCCTGCATCTCCTGGAAACTTTCCTCTAAATCCTAGGGCTGAGAAGATGGCCTCTAAAACGGGGGGAAGGGGAGAGGGAAGGCGGATGAAAAAGTCACAGGCGTGGCGGCTCATTGCTGTGATTTCAGCGCTCTGGGAAACTGAGTCAGGAAGACTGCAAGTTAGAGTCCGGCCTGGGTGACTTGGTGACTTGGCGAGATCCTCAAAACCAAACAGTAACAACAGCAAAACCAAACCGACCAATCAGCCAGTCAGTCAGTCAAACAAAAAACCCCACAGGGGATGTAGCTTAGTGAGAAGGCCCTGGCTAATCCTCAACACAAAAAGCATAAAGAAATAAAAGTCCCAGACCTCCCCGCAGGGATGTTGGTCCTCCACATGAGTTAATTAGCTCACATGGGAACTCCAGAGAAATGCCCTGGCTTCCCAGCTGGGGTGAGCCTTGCGGGAACTACGCTGCTTCCCCCACGGGAGACCTTTCCAGTGAAATTACAACCGGTTTCCTCTCCTGGACGGAAGTTCAAGTCTTCTTTTTTAAAGTCCATTTTATTCAAACATAGAAAGAAAGAAGAAAAAGAGGAAGAAGAACTCCGATAAACTTCCCAAGCACGTCCATGGGGTAACATGGCACACACGTTTGTGCACTGCCGTCCCCAAGCCATTTGGAAGTTCAGTTCTCCGATGCCACCGTACAGTCGCTTTCCCATCTCTGGGACCAGATATCAGACACCCGCACCGCACAGGGGGAGCCGTCTGTCAGGCTCATGGTTTAGAGGCTTCGGTCCATGGTCACCTGGATCCAAGGCAGAAGCACCATGGCGGAAGGGCCAGTCCAAACCGTGGCAGCCTGGAGAAAGGAGGAGCCGGGGACAAGAACACACCCTTCCGGATCTCACACCCCAGTGACCATGGCCAGCCGGGCCCCACCTCCTGAGAGCACATTCCACCCTGAGCTCATCCAGGGATGGACCCACTGAGGAGTACAGCGCCCCAGAACCCCAGGTCCAGGCACCCCCGCAAAGCCCCACTTCTCACCAGCCGCAGGCGACTTTGGGGGGTCATTTCAGCTCTAAACCACAAGAACCATTTTAGATCAGATCGATCCTTTTTGGGGGTCCTGCCAGATCCACACTGTCTCGTGTGGTGGTTTTGTACTTCGAAGCTTCATCTTGCTTGAGTGGACTCTTGGTCTTTGTGGCCTCGGAGGGGTGGACGGTTTCCTCCCCTTGATTTTACCCAGCCAGGTCCCTGGGAGAGGCAGGGCAAATCCTGGAGCTCAGTCTCTTCGACTAGATTCCGGGTCCTTTATACCAGAGCTGCTTGGCCAAGAGTGGCCAGGCGCTGCTGTTAGTCGAGGTCACCACGTTGACTGCAAATGAGAGGCACAAAGAGGAAACAGCATCGTAAATTCCCACATAAAAGCCGAAAGCTTTTAAAGACCTTCCGTGCGATCCAGGATCCAGCTCTCCACGGCCACCTAGTGGGACCCCAAGCCTTAAGTGCAGGTTGGTTTCTGAAACAGCCTGGCCCCGGGCTGCAGGATTTATGCTGAAACATTTCCTTTAATTAAATGGCTACTCCCTGACAGGGCTTAACTACATGTCTTCTAAAGCACCCGACATTTCTTCAGCCACTCGGTCCCCCAGGAGGGCGTCTCTTCCTCACTAGTGATACGGATTCAGCAGGCAGTCTGTGAGGTTCACTGAAGCTGTTGGGAGTATCTGGGTGCTACCTGGGGAGATTCTCTCCCCTCTGGTTTCAAAGTGGACAGACTGGAAACTCATAGATGTCCTGTGTCTTTCGCTTCAAGGGTTAAAGTGGGGTCCTGGTACCTCTTGTCCCCTGCACTGAGAGGACCTCAGGCTGCAGCAGTGTCCCTTTCTGAACTCCAGCCAGGGGCACACAAAATAGTGTTTTCTCTGTCAAAAGCAAGACAAAGCTGCTGTTGAAAACTCAGGGCTGGCTGGTTGCTTCTGAAAGTCGCTTTGTGAATGGCGGGAGAGGAGACCAGCAGCCCTATGCTTTGGGCTTCGATTTCATACCGCATGGTCCAGGGCGGCCGTTTGCTCTCCCAGCTCCTGAGCTCTGCTGGCCCGAGCTGGCGTGCCCAGGGCCGCCGCCGTGACTCTGTCTGAGCTTCCTTTTCTGCTGTGGCTGGTGCTCGCCTTAGGGCTCTGTGTTCTAATTACTCCTTTAAAAGCCCACTTAAAGTTGCATCTAATATGTGCTTTTGCATTTAGTTGTATGTGTCTTTTCTCCTCCACCTATATCAGTGACAGATAGTAAGTGTAAAATGTGGGCTATCCAGGTAAGAAAAAGAAAAACAAATTACCTGTAATCTGATTAGTAACCGAAAAATACTACTAATTTGGTATTTTCCCTCTTATTCTACTATTTGTACTTACTTGTGTGTTTATTTAAAATACAGCCTCCCTATCCCACATGTGTTACCTCTTATAACATTTTCCCCACATACCTTATCCTTGAAGGTGGTTTTCACATTGTCTTGATCACTTAATATAGTATAACAAATATTTCTTCCAGCCTTTAAAAACTTGTTGGAATGCCATTTTAATGGCTGCACGGTATTTCACTATTTGGGTGTGCCACATGAGTTTATTTTAGCTCTGACATTGGACAGTTAGAAGTGTGTTTGTTTTTTTTCTGTAATAACCAGCTTCTCAACACACACCTTGAGTGGGAAGCTCTGCTCCTGTCAGCTTTCCTTGGGTAACTGCCTGCAGGACTCGAGAGGAACAGGAAGCAGGCATAGCTCGTTTGGAGGCGTGGAAACAGTTACCTCTTCTTAATCTTGGTTCTTTGTCCCCAAGATGACTTCTTGCCTTCAAGTGACCTTAAAATTATCAAAGCATCAAAGAAGCTCAATGTCCAAGGAAATGTGCTCTCCTCCCAAGGGAACAGACGTGTGTATTCTCTGAAAGTCGCTGCAGTTGAGAGGTACACTGCTTTAAAAAGAGAATGAGTTCTAGGCTTGTTTACTTAGAAATTCTAATAAACTGGGCCATCTGCGGTGAGGCTGCCTTGGTTGTGGAAACACACCGTTGGCTTGAGTTGGCTGTAGATAGCTGGGCTCGTGACCAACGGCTCGGGGCTGTGCAGGCCCGGATGGTTCTGTTGCTCATCTGGCAGCAGCTTTGCGTGGACACTCAGCGTGGGCTGCTGAGCACAGCATGGTCAGGTGTCCCCGACCCCAGCCAGGGCAGAGGAAGCGTGCTGAGCTGGAACAGAGAAACTGTGCTCCAGGCTCTGCTCATGAGCTCCTCTTCAGGTCACCTAATTAGCTGGGTGCTTTTTAGCGAAGGCCAAATGTGCTTAACATAGTTCATGGAGATCTTGGAATAATACATGTCAGGAACCATTAGGAAAAAAGCCGGGAAATTCCAAGCAGGTTCCCTGGAATACTCACCTTGCAAGTAACCTTTTGGCTTAGCATAGAAGAACCAGAAAAGTGGTTGGAAGAACATGCCTCAAAACTTGACCTGGGCCGCAGAGGACCCTGTGTGTGTTTAGGCTTCCTCGGAGGGAGCCCTTTGGGGGATCAGGTGTGTGAGCCCCCCAGGAGTTCTCCCTGTTCCTCAGTCCCCCCTTCCAGGCAGTGCCTGAGGTCCTGCAGCCTCCCCTGAAGGTGAGGCGGAACAGATGCTTTCTGCCCACTGCGGGGGATTCCCACCAGGGTGTGTGGACTGGGGGGTTCTGTTCACAAGGGTTCCCCGGGGAGAAGGGCACCCCACTATCTCTCAGCTGATTCTGGCTTTCCCTCAGAGAGGCCTCGCAGTCCCTCGTGTCCCAGGCTGGTAGCCTGCCCTGCTATCTGCCCTCTCTCCTAGAGGAGCCCCCGGCCTGGGTGCTTTGTTCTCCCGATGCACAGGCAGCCTTGTGCTCCAGGCTGAGGCAGCGTCCTTTGCCGCCTGTGTTAGTTCCTCTCCTTGTTGCTGAGACAAAGCAGCCCACACTCAAGGAGAAAGGAGGGAAGGGTTATCCAGCTCACAGTCTGGAGGTTTCAGTACACAGCTGGCCGGCCGGCTCCAAGGCAGGTGGTGTGGCCGAGGAGAAGCAGTCCATGGCAGGCAGGAGGCAGCCAGCAGTGAAGCAGCAGCCGGAAGTGACAACGGCAGCCTCTTTCTCTTATTTATTTTTTTGGTGGTACTGAGGATTGAACTCATGACCTCACACTTGCCAGGCAGGCGCTTATACTGCTGAGCTAAATCCCCAGCCCCAGCCTCTTTCTCTTCCTCCTTTTACACTCTGTCAAGGCACTGGCCTTAGGGTGGACTGAGTTACAATCACACACCCTGAATCCCGGCATCCTACGCCCTAGAGCCAGCCCACCTGTGATCGCGTGAAACTTTGGGGGGACAGCCAGACGTGAACCCTGACACCACCTTACAGAAGTGGGAGCCACGGTGACCGGCGCAGCTCCAATGAAACAGGAGACAGGAGACGCTTTTGTGGACAACAGTTAACTGCTGGTTTATTTACGCGGGCTCTGGTTTATATATTTGGCCGTGACCAATCACAGGCTGCCACGAGGAAGCAGGGCGGGAATGGGACGCAGGCTCCGGCTACCATATCCAGCTGTGGCCAATCAGGAGTTGCCACAGAGTATGGAGTGAGCACAAAGTGCGCACGGGTTGGCTAATTTAAGGAGGGACGTAGCGCATTGTGGAAGCTGGCGTGGTCCTTAGTCCCGGGTGGGGTATGGTATGTTGAGCGCCTGCGCCCAACATCTCCCCCTTTCTTTATAACTGACGCAGGGTCTCCAGAGGTCGGTGCCCCTCGTGAGGTGTCACGCTGCAGTCATGACAGTGCCTCACTACTCGTTGGTGCTCTTTTGGAGGGGGCGGGAGTATTGTTTTATGAGCCCAACCCGCATGCTCACCGACATGGGGACCGGGGTGTCTCCTGGCCAAGGACGACACCCCCTGCGATGCTTTGCTCCACACCTGCGTCACAGCATGGCGAGCCATGCTGCCGGGCTTTGACCAGATTCCATGATCAGCAATGCTTGTTTGATACTTTGTCCCTATTCCTTTGTCTGCGAATCCGACAGAGCAGAAGTAGACTGCCGAATGCGGCAAGTGTAGTCATGGTAGCCAGAGCCCCTATTTCTGCCCATTCCTTTATGAAAGCCAATTGGAGAGTTGGCCCGAGCTGGATCACAGGAAACTCGTCTGAGTCCGCCATAACTGGAACCGGTGCGAACTGGAGTACCTGCATAACAACAGCTGAAAGTGCACTGTTATCCCAACATTATAACATATAACAGGTTGCGGTGGAGCAATTTAGAAAAGTCATTGGCTGCAAGGGCCGTACGAGATGCAAGAAGGAGGGGAAAAGGAGGCTACTAACCAGGGGAGTTGGCCAAGGTGCCATAGTTAATGGGAGTTGTGGGTATACTTGCTAGGTCTGGCTTGTGAGGCTCCTGTTGGTTCCCCTGTTCTGTGGTTGACGTTTCCTCTGGGTCGGGGTCTGGTGGTTTGCAGGGACGTATCAGGCGTTCCGGGACCCAGACAGGTTCGCTGCCTTCTTCCTGCGGGAAGATACAGACCGCCCCTCTCGCCCAACTAAGTACTGGGCTGGGGCCTCTCCACACCCCACGCAGGAGGTCTTTCCAGCGTACCCAACCATGTTTGGGTGCGACAGGGTTGGCATGTAGCTGTGCTGGCGTGGATCCTTGTGGGTTGATGTTTACAAAATTGTAAGTGAAGAGGGCAAGATTTAGTCTGGCCCTAGGTGTCATGCCCTGGGCAATACCCTCCTTTTGTTTAAACAGAATAGACTTGAGGGTTTGATATGGCCTAACTTTAATTGCTCTTGAATAAGTTTGGATGCGGCTTCTGCTTTGTCTCGTGGTAGGGCCGTCAACAATGGCAAGCCCCGACTCCTGCCAAGTTAACGAACTATACCTGGTGCTGACCCAGAGCAGCTGTGAGCTGCTTAATGAGCGGCATGGCTGTCTCTGCGTCTCCAAAAATTCTCCCTGCCGCCTCCATCATGCGGGCCACAAAATCTGAAAAAGGCTCGCTCGGGCCCTGCAAAATTTTTGTCAAGTGGCCTGAGACTTCTCCCCTAGCCGAGACCCGTTTCCATGCTTGTATGGCTATTCTATTTATCTGTGCATACACCTCTTGTGGGAATATCAGCTGGTTATTGAGATACTGCCCTTGTCCTAATAACATATCCGCGTTCCAGGCGGCCTGATTGTTCTGGGCATTAGCTTGGGCCTGTTCTGTGGCAAGTTCAACATTCCAAGCTTTCCAATCAAGATATTGGCCTGGGCTGAGCACTGCCTTGCACAAACTGGCCCAATCAGCAGGTGTCATGGCATTTCCTGCCAGGGCTTCTACTAGGGACAGGGTATACGCCCCGTTAACACCGTACATGGTGCTGGCCTCCTTAAGATGCTTTATCGCCTTCATATCTATAGGCAGGTGGGCTCTGTTTCCCTGAGCATCTACAGCAACCAGAAAAGCCCGGAGAAAACGGCCCAGGCCTCCTGGGTCCTCTCTTTTGACTTGATGCCAAAGGTCTTCCTGGAATGTCCCAGGGGACGTCTGGACCCGTTGCGGACAGCTACATAGCTGATGGCAGGGTCTCCGGTGAGCATGATAATCTGGTGGGTCGGGAGGTAGAGCCATAGGTCTTATACGGGGTGGCCCTGGGATCCCGTACTCACTTTCATTGACCCATTTACTCTGAGAAATCTTGCGTTGCAGCTCATTTATGGCCTCAGAGTAAGGCCCTCTCGACTGCGTGTGTGTGACTTCCCCTCTTTCGGTGGTGTCTGCATCGACCATTTTGTATACTTCTTCTTCCTCCCCCTCATTATCTGACGAGTCCTTTGTTTCTGGGTTGGGTGGGGTCACCTCGCCTGCGGCACTGGACTCACGAGATTGCTCGCGGGAGGATTCTGCCTGATGGTAATCAAGCGCCATGGCGCCAGCCCTTATATGGTCACAACAAGAGGTGTCTGTGAGGCAGCTTCTCACTACTGCCCAAAGGGGTCTGACTCCTGGCTCCAGGAGGCCATTTTCTGCTGCAAAGTCAAGATCTCTCCCTAATTTATCCCAGCTGGGGATGGTAATGGACCCCCGTGGGACCAAACCAAGGTGCTACCTTATCTACCTGATCGAGGAAGTTTTGAATTTGTTCTCGTTTCATTTGTAATCCCTTTTCTCTCAGTAAGTCGCTTAAGGCGACTGACAGTGGCTGAGTAGCCGTGTTACCCATGTTAACCGGAATTTCAAGAGTTTCTTTCTATTTTTATTTATTTATTTTTTTTCCTTTTTCCTTTTTTTTTTTTTTTTTTTAAATAACAGGGACAGCTTAGTCCCCGTGCCCCTTTACGGCGCCCCCAAAACCTGCCTCTTTACGGCACCGGGAACTCTCTTTACGAGTTCCTCGACCCTTGCGACGCGTCGGCCCAAGGTTGCCCGATAGCCCCCGCCATCCGGCCCTGCAGCCCCCGCTGCCTGTTGCGTAGCCCCCGCTACCAACGTTGAGCAGTTTAACCTGTCAGCCCCCGCCCGCCAAGTAGCCCCCCGCTATCGGCGCTTGACGGTTTTACCTGTTAACGTCTCTGTTCCATCGGAGAGAGGGTCTCAGCTCTCCTCGTACTGTCGGAGAGAGGGTCTCAGTGCTCCGGGCTCCCCGTACGGGCCACCAGTTGACCGGCGCAGCTCCAATGAAACAGGACACAGGAGACGCTTTTGTGGACGACAGTTAACTGCTGGTTTATTTACGCGGGCTCTGGTTTATATATTTGGCCGTGACCAATCACAGGCTGCCACGAGGAAGCAGGGCGGGAATGGGACGCAGGCTCCGGCTACCATATCCAGCTGTGGCCAATCAGGAGTTGCCACAGAGTATGGAGTGAGCACGAAGTGCGCACGGGTTGGCTAATTTAAGGAGGGACGTAGCGCATTGCGGAAGCTGGCGTGGTCCTTAGTCCCGGGTGGGGTATGGTATGTTGAGCGCCTGCGCCCAACACCACGGGTTTTAGCTTTTCCTGGAGCCCTCCACAAATGATTTAGTTCTCGACCAGTGTGGCAGCTTTACTTTTGTGCATAACTGATGGTCATTGTGGTGTCTCCTGGCTGGAATGGCAGAGGAGCCCCCGCTGTTGACCAAGTGGCTGCTGCTGAGTACCCTGTGTGCCCGGGCGTCCAGGAGGACTCCGGCTGTGTCTCCTTGCAGTGTCTGCTGGCAGCACAGGGAGGGAAGTGGCCGTCCAGCTGCATACCTGTCAGGCTGGGACTTCTGTTTGTTTGCTTTGCCACTTGAGAGTGGTTGGGGAATCCGATGAGGCATTTCCAAGCTCAGGTGACTCGTAAATGAGTCCTCCCCGGCTGAAGCTCGAGACAGCTAGGCTTGTTTCCTCGGCTTCTCTGTGGGTTTCAAGCCTGTCCTCTTGCTGGGTCCTGGCACATGAGTGTCTAAGAGATCTTTGGGAAGGGGTGAAGGGATGGAGGGAGGGGTGCGGGAGAGAGGAAGGAGAAGAGAGTTAAGACCAGCTGTGTACGCGTAGCCACTCCCCACCCAGCGTGTGATCGCTGTGTGCTGCAAACGTGGACTGATACAAACTTAAAGACTTAAAAAAGAGATTCATTGTGGTCATGGTTTTGGATCTCGTGGGCCGTAAGGGGTCATGATGTGAGAGTTGGAAGGGCTGTGGCGTTTCTCCAGGGAAGCGTGAGCTCCTGTCACTCAGGTAGAGAGAGGAGTGGCATTCCTGTTGCCCCAGCAGCCCTGCCTGGGGGTGCAGTGGGGGCCTCCCCACCCCCTGCACAGCCCTGCCTCGTTCTGCCCTTTTCAGAGAGGCTGTGAGCCAGCCCAGAGGTCAGGGTGTTGTCCTCCAGGGTGACCCTCAGGGCCTGTTGGAAAGTGGTCAGCGCACAGGCTCTTCTTGGAAGATAAGGTAGGGGCTGTGCCTGTGGCTTAGCTTTGCCTGCTGACTGCTCCTGGTCTTAGGACATGGAAAGTGGGAGGGCTCACGGCTCTTATTCGCAGCTCTTGTTTGTCCCTGATTCCCCCAGGATGATAGGGAGGTGGGGCGGGTCAGAGCCCTAGCTTTCTGAGGGTGAAGGTGGCAGCCACTCGTTATGAGGGCACCTACAAGGGCACCCCTTATAGAGAGGTCGCTTAGAGACCTCTCAGAGCCCTGGAGTAAGATGCTCTGTGTAGGAAGCTTAGGGAAGGAAGCTTTAAAAGCTCACCAATGCTGTCCGAGACTGCTGCAAAACTGACCACCCAGAGGCCACAGCAAGCCCATCGCCATCCACGAGCTTTTCCTCCACATCCCTTGGGGCACAGCTGATGACGGGTGTGGCTGGGCTTCCAGCGCTTACTTTCAGGACTGTGATGCGTTCCTTTTTTAAAGTAGGAAGACTTTATTGAGAGAAAGAAAGCTTCTGTCTGAGGGGACAGAAGGGCCCCGGAAGGTGGGTTGCCCACCAACCCTGCTTCCCAAGGGTATTTATTGAGCAAAGCCATGAGGTGAGGTGGGTTAAGGTGGACAGAACTGTAATCAATCATAAGATTACAAATATAGTTGCTTAGGTAATATGATCCAGTGGGAAATCACAGGATGGGTGTGAGGTGAAATAAAACCTTGGTCAACCTAGAAGATTACAGCAAACATAGACTAAATGGGGATCAAAGTGGGGGGCAAGTCCCGTAATGTAGCAAGTGCAGATGGGCAGACAAGGCCTTCCTTGGAGGGGTGGGTGGGGAGGCTTGGTCCCCACCCCAAGGTGATTGCTGTCTACTTAGAATCTCAATCACTGCTCATCCCTTACGGGAGAACATGGTGAGTGGTTCTTTTTCTTGAAGCCTGGCCTTCAGCAGCTGTCTTCTGCACTGACCTCAAGGGCCCAGCCCTGACTGCCTGCCCATAATGCTTCTACCTACCTTAGCTGTCTATAACATTCCGTCCTCTGAAGAGGTACCCTGAGTGCCGTGAGGGAGGAGGACTGAAGAGCACTCTGCCTGGTTCCAGCTGAAGAGGGTCGTAGTTGTGAGCAGCAGTCAGAGATACACCACAGAGGGTCCTGCTGAAGGCCCTGGATAGGCACCAGGTGTGCTTGTCTTGTCTTGAGGCAGCTTTAACCTGGAGGAGACAAGGCCACAGAAACAGTTAAGGGTGCAAATGCTAAGATCAGCAGGATTGTTATGAGTATAGGCAACAAGGGTTTCCACCAGGAGGAGCCTGTAATGGCTTTCTATAGAGAGGCTAAGGAGAAGGGGATTTCAGAGTCTGACCTGCCTACCATTAACCCTCGTCTGGTGTCTTGGACAGCTACTGAGATGTTAGCAGGAAGGTCCGGGATTTGCACGCAACATTAAGCTTTATAGTTGCACAAGCGCCCCCTGTGCGGCTGTGAGCATGTCTGATGCTTCTGATTTTGGAGAATGGCTTGTTTTATTAATTTTACTTTTTTATTTAGGGAGAGAAACTAGCTGAGGTATCTCTAAGGCCTGCCAAGTATAGTTACAGCCTTGATATGTCATATAACCCTCGCTCAACAAGGTTGATCAGGAGGATCCCAGTAAAAGGACCCTGGCATTGTGCCACTGGTTTTATCTGTATGGTCATTCAGGTCATTTTGCCTCAAGGCAAAAATAAAGACATTTTTAGGAAATTAGCGCATGAGTAATCAACCGTGAGCACCACAGTGGACAGAAACCTCTAGAAACTGTTCTTTAGGGACGGGAATAGTGATTGTGACCTGCTGGCTCTTAGACGCCTCTTCTGATGGAGTCTGATATTTTGTGACATCAGACTCCGATATGTATTATAAAATCAAAAATCTAAGCATCATTTTGATTAGCTGGTGACCTGGGTGTAGTATTTAGGCAGGATAAAATCTCTCCAGGGTGCGAGCTGGGCTGTTATCCTGGTTACCTTAAACGAGTTGTTCTTTGTGATGACTCTGTACTGCAGTATGAGGCCTGGAAGGACAAAGGGACCGTGCCCATGTCCAGCAGTAGGCTGTGGTTTTCCTCCGGCCCTGATTGCTCAGGGCTCTCCATAGAGATGACAGGCGGACATGGCAGTCCCGCCTGAGGGGGAGGCAGGGAGCCTGGGGCCCTGCGGCCTGGCTAGACCAGCAGGGAAGGTGAGTCTGACCCTGGGGCCTCACTTCAGAGTCCTCCTGGTGGCTACTTTTGCAGCCAGGCCGGTGTGGGGGCCTCTCAGGCAGTCCCTCTCAGGGCGGCCTGGCTGTCCACAGGAGTGGCAGCTGAGCCTGGCCATTGAGCTCCTCTTAGAGCCCTGAGAACAGATTTAGGGTCTGCTCTTTCAAGGCTGCAACAAAGGCAGCTGCTTTCTCTTGGTCTCTGTTTTCTCCCCTCGGCTTCCTCCCGTGCGGTGCTGAGGAGGTGATTTATGCTAAAGCACTGAGTGAGCTACTGGAGCAAAAGCCATCCTTTGAGCTTTTAAAAATATCTGAAGCTGACTGTGTTTAAACCTGTCTTTAAGAATGATCTGTCTTTCTATTGAATCTTTCTATCGAATACTGCTAGGGATGTGTTTTACTGATGCTTCTGTAAATGATCTAAGAAGGCAGAGAGATTCTCATTCTTCTCTTGCTGAATATCTGACAATTTAAAATAATGCAAGGGCTTAGTTCTTGTCCTTAGACTTCAAGGATTCACGTCTGGAAATCCTCCTTTTCTAACCTCCCACCAGTAGAGGTCTTGGGCGGGGACTGCTTGGGCTCCAGCAGGAACTGGTTGTTTCCCTGGCTGTTGGTCTTCTGGTCTTCAAAGTTTATAGTATGATATTCATCCGAAATGCAGTAGCAGCTTGGAAGGTGCTTGTTGCTCATTAGAAGCTGGTGTTTGATTTAACATTAACGCGACATCTTTCCAGCCTAGCTCATAGGTCTGGGTAAATCCTCTGCAGCCCTCAGGGTACTCACCAGGCTCATCTGAAAACTGTCCTAAAGTTTGCTTGATGTGCTGAAGATTGCTGAGAGCAAAGGACTCTGTACTCAGGTAGTCCGGATTCCCCTCTTACTTCCTATGAGCGACTTTGTCTTTGAGGACCTTGAACAAAATCAGCTAAGGATGGGTAGAGCCCGGTAGAGGTGTCAGTGATGGTTGGCCTAGAAGCCCATCCTCAGGATCTGAAGGGAGTAGGGGGCTCCAGACTCAGTAATAGGGGGCCAGACTTCCATTAAGGTTGTCTTGGAAACCTCCTCTTTAAGCTCCAGAGTTTGAGTTGGAGGAGCCTCAGGCTTGCTCCTTAAAGACCTAGATGTCTGGTTTTCCTGTGGCTCACATTTACATTTTGAACACGAATAAGGATTATTTCTTAATGCAAAGAAAGTCTGAACATAAGGCCATTTGGATCATTCTCCTCGTTCTTACAGTATGACTCCAGGTGTAGGAGACCATCGTCATCACTACTGCCCTCTGTACACCATTTTGGCTCCAAGGGATAGGTGGACCATGTGCAGATGCTGAAAATGCTAAACTGCTCTTTTTCAGTGTGTGAGGACCAAACATTTTCCGGTACTTAAGAATACATTCCACAGGAGTAAGAGATTTTAGCATCCATTTCCCATCTGAAATGCAAAAAGGAAGAATTGGGTGTCCCCTTTAATTTCTATTTGATTTCTTATACCCTCAAGGCGTCCCTCAAACAGATGCCACCTAGGGCAGGTGGCTGCCATCTGAAGAGGGACCGGGAGATGAGGTCCA